GCACCTCCGTGCAACAAATGGAAAACGCCATTATTTTATCGCGACCAGTTTTGGAACGAGTTCTCCAGACTGTCTAATAGGTAAACGAACTTTATGTGTCAATCCTGAAGTTCTTGCTAAAATCCCAAGACCGCTAGATCTGGTTCAGAAATGGTTCCGAACCGATTCTGGTTGATCCGCGAATCCAGAACCGTAACTAAAAGTTCGGAACTTTGTGATCCGCGAACGCCATTACTTGAACTGCGCATGCGAAATAGTTTCGAACAGTTCAGAATCATCACCGCGAATGAAGCTATTGTAAAAGTAAAAGCTGTTTACGGAAATTATGATCGGGCTAAAAAAACGCTAAGCTAGATTTCTACCTTCAAAAATAACAAGACTATAATCTAAGAGTTCAAAGAGCCTGCCAAATATTATTTAAGTTAGTCTTGTAGTGGATAGTGGCGCTAGTATCGATATGACGTCATCGCAATGCCAGTGTCGCACCACAGAATCAGTAACTCTCACCTTAGTTTATTATATTTCTCGATGTTAGGAAATGTATAGTACATTGTATCATTAGAACCCCCCTTTCCATTTGAAATTTTGCGGGTAGAGAGTGAACATACCAATAAAATGTGCGATTATTACCAATACTATATTGAGCAATACTGGCATTGCAATGAATAAGTAGACTTAAGGCCGTTTTACAGCTTGCAATTCTATCTGCAATATGCAAGAAACTTGAACGAGGGCATGCCACTGATCTAAAAAATAAATGGATGAACAATCATACGGCTTGATTAGCAAAATTTGTGCGAAAATTTGGGGTCAATATTCTACGAACAGTTGTGCAACGCAACGCAGTGTTTATCTTTTGAACAACTGTTCTAAATTTTGAAAAATCCTTCATTTTCATTGGCTATATTTTGGGCACGCACAGTACATGTATCTACTGCGCACGCTCACAGCTGTCCCAGTCAGTTGTTTTTGTTTAGATTATGACCATGATATCCATTTATTTTTGAGATCAGTGGGGCATGCGCAGAAGTGAGTCAGCTGATTGGTTTCTAGAAGATTCTTGAAACTTGCATTGCATGCAATCGGTTTGGTGCTATTTTTCTTGAAGGTTTTCGTGCAAGCTGGGGAATTTTCAGCAATTATGATGCTTAAAGCTGCTGCTATTCCTTTCTTCTTCTTATATCGACTTATATTCACTTTTTTTATTTTTGGAAAATGCAAACATCAATAACACAACATTAAAAACAAAAAAGTATGGATAAGGTCAGAAAAGGAAACAAGTTAAATTGCAAGCTGTAAAACGGCCTTTATAGCATATCAGCAAAAAACTTGGTGCAACGACCCAAGTTTGAGGAATCAATAATTTCTTGCTGACAATAGGAAATCGACTTGGATCAATAGTTCGATTTTCCTAGTCAGTTGGGTCTTAAAGCTGAAGCAGATAACAAAGCTTGAGCCAGGTTATCGGGCGCGAAAAAAGTTAAAGTTATAACGTTACAAAAAGATGGATTTCCAGTGGTAAGTAGGTAAGTCATTTGTCTTTCTCAATTTGTAAACTCATCATTTTAAATCAATAAAATTATTCATGATACTTTCCCTTATTTTATTATTATTTATTTTATTTTGTGAGTAATAAATAGGCATTGTTATTTTACATTTGGTTTTCATTTTGGACTAGATCCCAAGTCCCCAGTCACGACAAAACAGGTTGTGACATTGTGGTGGAGGCGCCGTTGTAGTGGTAGTGCTTCCGAACATCGAAGCAGAAGTAGTTGTAGTAGTACTGCCAAACATTGGAGTTGCTGGGGTGTTTCCAAAAACTGAAGTGGTACTGCCAAAAGTTGGAGGGGCAGCAGGAGAACTAGTGGCACCAAAAACTGAAGCCGTGGTAGCTGGAGTGCCAAAAACTGAAGAAGTTGTATTGCCAAACGTTGGCGGGGAAATTGTCGTTGTGGTACCACTGCCGAAAACTGGAGCTGAAGCTACCGGTGCGGTACCAAAAACAGAGGTGGTATTGCCAAATGTTGCCGCACTAAATATAATAGGTAATAATTATAGAGGAAAAAGATTGTTGTTTCTAATGAACTCTGAGTTTAAGAAAAATATTTCAGTCAATGTTTCTGAGCCTGAAAAACCAGCGACAGTTACAAAAGAGCAAACAGAAGTCCAATCATCCTTAACTTCAATTTTATCATCTCCAAAATCGAGTACACACATAAACCTACTGAAAAACATGTACACTTTAATTAAACTACAGCAGCAGCACCATCGATCAATCAGCCCTCTTTGACACAAACCTCAGCTCATATAGTATCAGAATCTGTTAGTAAAGCTTCTATTATCCAGACAACACCTGTTGTTTCAACCACCCCAACCTTTTCATTTGGTAATCCAACTTCTACAGATAAAACTGATACAAGTAAGCCTTCGTTTGGTTTAGGTAAACCTTTGGAAACTAGCCCTCAAAAACTTGGATGCTTCAAATTTGACCTTAACGCACCTGCCAGTACCACATCTCCTGTTACAAAAACTACTTTACCCTCTATAAGTTTTCCTGCTGCCACATCTGCAAATACATTGAATTTTAATAAGCCCTCAGAAAGTTCTGTAATAGTTTTTGGATCAAGTTCCAACACAACAACAGCTGCTTCAACCACTTCGAAAACGGAACCCACCTTTTCTTTTAAAAATTCATTGGCTAAATCTCCAGCGATTAATTTTGGTTCTAATGCTGCACTTAAAAAGACTCCTAGTTTCAACATTACAACCACTCCAAGCACAGTGCTATTTTTTGGTATCGGTAGCACAACTACTACTAGCACTACACCGATGATAAATTTTGGTGCGCCAGCAGCAACAACGACGACACCTTCGATAAATTTTGGTGGAACTTTTGGTGGACAGAGTACCGCATCAAATAAACCCAATACTTCCTCGCTCTCTATGTTTGGCTCCAATACTAGTACTGCCACTGTCACGCCTACATTTCACACAGAAAGCCCTAAGCAAATTAGTAGGGAAGGAGAACAAGGTAACCCCTTATGTGGATACCGGAACACGCTGGCCTTGAGGGCAACGAAATGGCGGATCTCCTTGCCAGAGGGGGAGCCGAAATCAAGTTTACAGGACCGTTTTCATCGAAACTCGACTTCAAACAGTTCAGACTTACCGCGAACGAAGCTATTATAGAAGTAAAAGCTGTTTACGGAAACTATGATTGGTTAACCCGATCGCCAGCAGACGTAGGTATTTTGTCTTTTTTCAATTGTATTCATTAAGGAAAGATAGAAAACATTCAGCTGCTGATCGGGTCAACCCGATTATAGTTTCCGTAAACGGCTAAAGAGAAAAGAGTCAAAAAAGATAATGCATGCAGCATGCAGCATGCAGAGGGCGCCCACGTCGCCCACAGTGCTCTTGCTCAGTTTGGTCGGATCAAAGCTCGACTCGAAGCTAATCTCTGGAAGGAATGTTAGGCGCTACGTCATCAATACTTGAATTTATCACAGACATTGCGATTTGCTGGTGCCATTTGCACGTGCACTGTGTTTGACATAATTTATATAATTACTATCGATATTCGTATTGTTGATGGTTGACAAAGAGAGACGTAACAACCAAAATAAATTTATGTTACGACAAATGACGCGTAAAACCGTTGCATTTTTTTGGATTGTAAAATATGGATGGATTAAATTAGGCGCCTTCGGTGCCCCGGTACTCCGGCGCCCTAGGCGGGCGCCTAGTTCGCCACCCCCTAGTTGCGGCCCTGTTTGAGCTGGATATACTGACAAAATTGTAAACGCATATTCTATGCCTTTATTAGTCTGCATCAACTTGCCGCTGAGAAGCAAAGCAAGAAATAATCATTTTATACGATTCGATTGGTTCATTGCTACTAACACATTCTTATTCCATCCACCAAGCAAAATTTTATTGAAAATGCGGTTGATCAGCGTTTGTTATTGTTGGCCAAGAGAAATGAAATGTTGGTTGAATCCACACAAAAAAAAAAAAAAAAAAACGTTTAAGTTTGAAAACGGTCATTCATTTAGATCCTGTGCAATAACCCAAGTTTTTTCGTGAACGTTGCATTGAAATCCTTCAATACTGCTTCAAATTGTGAAAAACTTTTCCAAAATAGCATTAAAATTCAATAGTCAAGAATTTTTGACTTTTTTCATACGTAACACTTTATAGGTATTATACAATTATCGATTTCTGCTTTTGTTTTCTAGAATAGGTAGGTATCTAATGAACTTTAATAAAATATCATCATACCTAATTGTTTTAGATAAATGTTCATAAATCAGGTTGCTGGGTTAGTTACTACCTATTTGAACAAGTAGGCTCCTACTAGAGACTTATAGATGATATTAGAGTGGGCATGATATAATATATTTAGGACCGAATAGTAACAATCAATGATCTACCAATCTGGTACATCATTGTTTACCAATGCAGTAGGTACCATTTACCATTAACTAAACCTACTCGAAGCAACACAAAAGTTAACTTACAGTAAACATCGCACCATATCCGACCCGAGGCACGCCGTAGCTAAACCTAAACCAACTTAAATTGTACTAAATTCAGTACATCAATAAAATCTACCTGAACCTTTGGAAAATGGTACTTTCCGCGGAATAATGCTTTCCTGCCTGTTCGTTACTAAAGTACTAGGTTTAGTACAATAAAACTAACGTGAGCTTGGTGTGTGAGAGGTCCTAGTTCAATTATTAGTGAGCAAGCAGAACCGATGCAAAGTGAACGTTTGCAGTTCACCTACTTTCAAATTGAAATTGTTTAACATCAACTGTACCTATTAATTACTTATGCGATGAATCCGCCAATAAATTTTGTTGTTTACCTCTGAACTCTCTGATAACGAAAGATAAAATATATCTATTAATTATAAATTTGTTGTTATCAAAATTACGATACAAAACACCAAAACACATATATAATTTGAATGTTGACAAAAAAAAAACTATTTTTACCTCTCAAAACTGGTGTCCCAAATTAAGCCACAATTAGTTTTTTCCCACCAAATAATATCACTCACTCAAATTAAAAATCTATTCAATTGTATTTTTTTTTTTTGAGAAAAATAGAGTCGGTTTTATTCTCTATCGTATAAGAGCTATCGAGAGAAGTTCATTGTACTGGTTGAGCCAGCCAGCAAAGCTTTAACTCTACACTGTTATCCACCATCCACTGTATATCGGATCGCCGATCGGAGGTTTGAAACGCTGTTATAACGTCGCGTTCATGCGCAAAGCTACAAGTTGGTCCTTCAAGAGCCGGATTCGACAAAATTTTATCTGAAATTCACTCGCAATAATTACGTTTGATATGTGAATGAGTGCCGAATGGATAATGATATGTTGATAATTGTAAAAAATGGGAATTTATTTTATATCCATGATGATTTTTGAAATTGATTCTTAGACAGTTCTTTGAAATTTTACTTTGCTATTATTTTTTTTAAACGAAATAGCTCTGTCTCGGAGGTAATAACTAATATTCAAGAATACAAAAAAAAAATTAAAAGTAACTCGTAATTTATGGACTAGGGTTGGAAAAAATCCAAAAAATTTAGATGACACTGAATAAAAACAATAAATTAAATTTCGAGGCATGATATCAATATACAGCAAGGAACTAAAGTTCGTCACCTCTCTCGCCCTGCCCACCATTAACTTCGTGACGCACTCTGCAACCTCCATGCGTCCCTAAATCGGACGGATTTCAGGTCTTCGCTGTTTGTACTTTGTAAAATATTTTTGCAGGTAGTACTAGTAACCAACGTGAATTCCAGGACATCACAGTACCTGTTCGAGAATTGATCCGCTGATTACCGGATGCAAAATTCCCTAGCCAGTTCTAATAACACGGGTAGGGGTATTTGCCCTCAGAGTAGTTGTTTCGGTGGTTATTAAACTCGCACGAGGATAATAAAGGTTTTTAAGAAATAAATTACCTGACCTTATTTCCAGCATTAAACTCACCTGCAGATAAACTAGGGTCATTTAAGAGAATTATTAAACTCACCTGGAAAATGGATTACGGTCGAGAAAAATTAGACCAAATATATAATGCAACCAGTGCCCAACTTCACTATTTTTGTCCCTGTATTCCTGAACTAAGTTCAATTTCTGAATTTTTCTAAACCATGTTTGCATTAAATGGAAACGGCAACCTACAATATTTGAATCTTGGAATGCAGAACGGCATGCATTATGAATTGCTACTCCAAAATCAATATGAATTATTTTAGGGCTTAGATTAAGTTCTAAAAGCACACACTTTTCACGCAAAATCCTAAATACGCAAAAAACTAAGGGAATGTAATGTCCATTAACTAAAACATGTATAGTGAACATTTGAAGGGTGTTGGTAAAAACGCTTCGAAGATGTGGTAAAACTAAGAATTTATTACTTTATATGCTCTTATATCTGTAGGTAAAAACCCTCTCGCCTGCATATCTGTATATTAATGAGATTAATGAGGTACCTGAGCATCACAGGCGAGTTTAGGTGTCGGAATTTAGGCCAACATTTTGCGCCCAGGCGATTTTAATGGGGCCATTAAGATGGTCTTCTACCTGTGCTCAGGCGAGTTTAATTCCGCCCGTTGTTTCTAGCTGTTCAATCAAGTTCGATATTGCTTGAACAGGTATAGCTTAAGCGCTTAAGCCTATGTCTTTCTGAGGAGTCCAGATAATGATGAAACGCGTAAAGGATTGGCTAGGGAAATTTATATCCGCAGATCAGTAATTCAATTTAATTCCCAAGCAGGGACTGCAATGTCCTTAGCTTGGTTACTACGTCTTCCAATTCCCGACGTACAACCATCTTTGGCAATCCGAGCATCCTCCGCCAAGCTTCTGTCTCTCATTTCCTAGACTACTCCACTTCTCCCAGTTTCTTCTAGGTCTCTGGCACGTGTTTTTCTTTCCCCTGGCTTCCAATTTTTTTGGGTGTTCTCTCGGGTATTCTCATTTTGTGTTCATGTCCAAATCAAATCAGTTTTTTGTCTCTAATATCATCTATTATTGTGTATCTCGCGTTCATTATTTCTCTAATTGACTCATTTTTGACCTGCTTGCCGGTTTCCTCCAAAAGTCCATTCAGGTATTTATCAAAATGTCAATGTAAAAAATAGAACTGAAAGAAATATTTTCTAGGCCTTCTTACAGGAAATGAAAGGTCGGGTAATGCTGCAGTAAGTAATACAACCATTGCGAATAGAATGATTTCAGCTATTATTGGTTTCGAAATATCTGGCCAAGCTTAGCTTCGATAAGTTTGTTGTAATGTAAAAAACATCATCATAACCATTTTACTATACCTACTAGTTTTAAAAAAAAAGTAGCTGGCGCTCCACTTTTCTATAATCTACAGAACTTTTAATTGCAAATTAGGTATAAACAAGAGACAGACAAACAAAGTGCGCAGAAGATATATTCACAACTAATCGCTACTCAGAAAAACCAATGTTTCTACTTTCTTCACTATTAGTTTATTTTATAAATAATTGGTGTAAACGAGCCCAAATATAGAAAATGCATAGTTCACATCTTTGGTATAGCCTGTCTTTTAAGATCATCTGCCCATCATCAGATTTGTGAAATATCTAATTATTCTGTTCCATCTGTCGTCATTCCAACGAATTTCCATTTTTCTTGTTGCTTTTACTTTTGCTTTATTATGGACCCAACTATTTTTCTTCCGGTTTTCTAGTTTGTTGATAAGCTTTTGTGAGGTCAGACACTGATAGATACCAGTTTAATATTCCGGACCACTTTCAGAATAGGATGGACGGAACAAGTTAAAATAGCAAAAACTTATATCTGGTATTCATTGGATTGAAGTTCCTCAAACTAAATTTTGGTAGGTACTTACGGCGAGACACGTGCTTATACCAAACCAGAGATTGATGGAGCTCACAAGGGTTTCGACTTGTGGGCAATCTTGAACTTCTTGCAAGACTAACTAGTATAAGGTCTGTTTCTGCAGAAATCACGAAGCAGTTAGAGTGAATTTCATTGGTTGAAACTAGTTTGCTGACTGTTTCCAACCAATGCAATTATCGCTCTGACTGGTTTGTGATTTCTGCAGAAACAGACCTATTGATTCAAAACACGTAAAGCTCAATGCTCATAGATAAAAGCATCGAGCCCCATTTCATTACACATAACAAATAAACATAAAAAGAGGTATAAACCAGGGTGATTATCGCCGAAATTGTTCACACTGGCTCTTGAGGATATTTTCACTTCAAAATATGTACCTACTGCGGCAAAAAAAATATTGATAGGAAAAAAAACGTCTAGAATATTATATCAAGGAGTGGATCAATACACGCTAGACAAAATATGACAGTAGATAGGACACAGAAATGCAGTTAGCCGACCTGAACAGAAAAAGCAAATTAGTCTGGGCAGAATTTGGAAGAGGAGGATTTGACTCTATAATCTTTGTTGGAAACATGTTCCAACAATCATGCTATCTCTTTTTGATGGCAAAATATTTTTATACATATAAAGTTTGCAACACTGCAGCGTTGTCGTCATGTCTATTTTGTCATGTCTGTCAATATATTGCGCGCCATTTTTGTCATTGCAGCAGTGTAGCTTGGAGCTTGTCCACGTTAACAAGCATCCAGAAACCTTTTCACATTTTAATAAATTTTATAATCTAGCTCTGCCCTGTTGGGCATCTAAGCAAGCTCTGGCTTCTTGTCATCTTGTAGTAGTAATTGTAAATAGTGTAAATATTGTGTAAATTGTTGTAAATATAGTGTCAGTGAAAAGCGCGTGTGTTTTAGTTCCCTATTCAGTCGATCATCCAGTCCACCTAATTATACAGTCCACTAATTATCAAGTTATTTATCTTCCATTATGTGGTTTTGCACATAATTTTGGCCAGTTCGAGCCGGATACTGGATAGTTCGGAACCTAAAAGTGCTTTAAAAACCCTCAAAAAGTGCCTTTTTAGTGGTTATTGATTGTTCCATCGTGATTTTTGGCGCCATGTGATGCAAAAAATCAATCATCCACTGTGCAGTCTGCACGTGTCTCAAACAACGTTGGGTTCCACGTGCCACCAGCGAAGGTTTCCGCCGGAACCGGAAGTGCGTAAGTAGAGTGGGGCGGAGCAAACAAACTTCACTTGTCAAATTCAAAAGGGTGCTTCTTTTTCTCGTCTGGTTCAACCCAAGTCACCCCGGGTGCAGTATCCTTGCTTGGTGCAATGAAGTACAGCCCCGGAGCAACGAACATGAAAGTGAGAGTTCACCACCCCGACAGCTTAACCTCAAATTAAATGTCAAACATTTGTTTACGTTTTGTTGTTTGTTGTTTGTGTATTTTGGATTTTTGCAGTGAATTTGAGTGAATTTGCATTATTTTTGAAAAACTGAATTTTTCGCATTAATTATTGCTATTTTTTCATTATTTATTTAAAGGATGAACAATTATCCGTTTTTCGTTTTGTTAAGTAGTTTTTAAAAAAAAAAAAAAAAAATCTAATTTATTAGGTAATTTTAAATTTTGTTTATAGATTTCTTTTGATATTTTCTTATTTTTTTGATTGTAAACTTTGTAAATATGGCTACCAAAAAGCAAATTGATAAATTATTGTCAAAGAAAAAGCAAGCAATCGACTCCATGGTTAGAATAAGTCGTTATATTTCCGATCACAAATCTGATCCTGACAGTGAGTATAAAACCGACCAATTTTTAGTTCGGAAGGAAATATTGCAGGACAGTTTTCAAAAGCTTAAAGACATTCAAGTTGAAATAGAGACAAGTACTCAGTTTGATCTCCAAATTTTATGACCCTTTGGGGTTGGCAGGCCCGATTTTGGTGGCAGCCAAAGTAATCATGCAAAAAATTTGGACATGCAAACTTAGTTGGGATGAAGTATTGCCCGATGATTTGTTGGACATTCATCCCTTAGAAGACTTCAAAGAGTTTTTGCCTATATACTTAGATTTGTTCACAATTCTGGAAAAAATTCTGGTGAAAAACTTGAGGGAAGTTTGAAGCTTTCAGAACTGGAACACAGTCTTAGAGTAATCATAAAATGTGAGCAAGACTTTTACTTTTCTAATGACATTAAATCTTTACTTTCCAATACCCCTTTAAAATCCTCATTAAACTCTTTGTCGCCGTTCCTAGATGGCAATGGATTATTGCGAG